TTTTATTTCCAGTTCAAGTTTCTCCTATGGCCTAAAATTTCTTTATTCTAAATACTTAGTTGGAAGCTCTATTGGATTATTTTACAAACATAGAACATTTCTCAAATCCGAAATGAATACTTAATGGCCAACATTAATACCATGAACCCCATAATCACCGAAGATGGCACACAATCCAACCAGATGGGAAAGTAAGAAAGCTAGTTCAGTTGAGCTTATGTTGCACTTTTGAGGACCAATATATGAATGTGGCTTATTTTTGTTGCTTGCTTAAGTGCGAGCTTTCACACAGTATTGACATGCACCTTTTCTTTTTTTCTTTCTTTTTTAGTAGTGCTGAAGATCAAATCCAGGGCCTCATGCATGCTATCTAAAAGCTCTACCACTGAGTTACATCCAAGCTCCTGATATAAATCTTCATAATAGAAATGCACAAAAGAATATTTAAGGGGTTGGGGTTGTGGCTCAGCAGTAGAGCACTTGCCTCGCACGTGTGAGGCACTGGGTTTCATCCTCAGCAACACGAAAAAGTAAATAAACAAAATAAAGGTATTTTGAAAAAAAAATATTTGAAATATTGGTCAGCTAGAAAGAGTTTTATATTAGTATGAGATCAAAGCCAATATTAGATTGTTGTTTACTGGGAATAAGCTAAATTCTGTTGGAACATTCATGGAAACTGACAGTGGATTAACCAATACTTTAGAAAATCTCACCATAGCTCCTTTGTGTCAGGCACTATGGAGACCACAGGGCTGTGATGAGTAAGATAAAAATCTTTGCATGTAAAGAGCTCATATTTGGTTGACCTCAGAGAAGTTCTGGGAATATGAACATGAAGGGCGTCCCTAGGGCACTATGACTGCTGCTGGTGTCCTGAACAATCCCATGTACCACATGCATACAAATGTCCTATTGACAACTGACATACATAATCTAAGTGAAAAACCTACTTGAGCCTAGATCGGAGCTCCATTTTATCTATACACAGAGTAGTTTTTACATAATTATTCTACATATGGTACTTTCCAGGAATTTGTCTACATAAAATTTGAGAGATGATGGAACTTTGTGATGTTTAAAACTCTAACAAGATTTGTCCACCATTTTAGAAAAAATCACAGCACCAAAACCAACCCTGGTCACACTGTTGAGCCACAGTATGACACACAAGCCCAGCCTCCCTTCGTTGCGGTGTATCTGGTGGCAATTCCACATAAAGATGACAGCAGATCATAACTTCTTTATGACTTCTAGAGAAGCTATTTTATTATAAATTACTTTTCTTTCATTACTCTTTTATAGTATAGTAATGCCAGGATATTGATTTTATAACAATTATATGTGGAAGCAAAATATATGTACTCTGAATTTCATTTCAGGAGACAAGGAGGTTGTTACAAAAGATTTATTATACAAGCGCAGGGAAGGAGTCTGATATAATTGAGAACTACTGCCCTGCAGGGTAAAGCAGACAAACACACTGATAATTTTGTCATCTTTGCTCCATCACAGTGACCTATGGGGCAGCCAGGCGTCATCAGGCAAGACCTTGAAAAATGCATACATAAATTTTTGTAAGATTACTCTTTCTCTTCAGTCTACTCCTCAGTTCTTTTTAATTTTGCTAGTTATTCATTTTTGATTACAAAAAAAAAGAGAGTGCAGGCTAAAGAGAATGCTGTTGGTTAATAAGATGCTCAAGAAAAGAATGCTTTTCACAGAAAACTCTCCTGCAAAGGGAGCACAGTCAGGGAGCTGAGGGTTCTTGAGAGGAAAAACCCAGGAGGTGAGTTAGTGGATGGAAGAGCAAGAACCTTGGAGGGTGTTCACTGTCCTTTTGGTGAACGTTGCCAGAGTTCTCCCTCTAGAACAAACTGGATAAAACATTTGACACAGAATGTTTTCTTTCTCCACCAATGATATCTGACAGCTGAGATTTTAGCCTAAAAAGTAAAATGAACAACCAGATTGAAATTAGGAACTGCCTGAAGGTTGCTAGGTGACCGAGGCCAGGAAGGTTGCAGTAGAGGGGGATCAGCACTGTTTGGAGTGGAGTATGTCAGATTCTCCTAGAAACTGCACAGTACTCATTTTCTTAAAAAAAAAAAAAATGGCTAGGCAAATACACATACTCAGCCACTGGAAGAAGGGGAGGGAAACCAAAATAAACACAAACAAAAAGTCAAAAGCCCCAAAGGGCTTTATTCTAAAGTTAGATGGTCAGACCATCTTTATCCTTTAGGATAAAGGAAGATGGCCTGAAGAAAAATCATCTCTACACCTCCCACCCCTCCATCCAAACTTCTAGTGTCCTTGGATTAATTCTGAGCTTAGCTTTAAATTCAGTGGGTGGTTCTGGCAGTACATGGTAGGAAGTTCCAGCCACCAGTTAAAACACAGGCCTAGACCAGTGTGTTCCTAGGACACCAAGTAATTCATGGGCAACCATAAAAGAAATACCATCGTGTTATTACTATCTCATCCTTCAGAGCAAGTGTCTCCCAACTACACTCAAGCATTCAAGGAAAGCCCAGGATGATACCCCCTCCTTCCTTTCACTGCTTGCCAAACTGAAATGTCCTCTGCTCTCACAAAAAGAATCTAGAATTCTGCTTTAACATAGAATTTTGCTTCTTCTACGTGCTGGGTTCAGGATGCCCTGACTTCATCTCCAACAGTGAAAATGTCCTACCCCTCCTTCCAGGTGATTCTCCCTCCTCTGAGTATCACCTGCATTATTTTTTTTCTTTTTGTTTTACATATTCACTTGGTTCTAGATCATCTTATAGTTAGCTGTGAACATAAAGTTAGAAGTTACTGTTAATATGGAGCAGGAACTCTGTGTGTTTTTTTGAATGTATGCATATCATTTTAACCCGTTTATATCTGCCTTCTCCACTAGGCGCTGAGTTCTATGGGGGCAGCAGGGTGTCCATCCTGGTTTTCAATCTGTCCTGACCCGCTGGTGGCATGTTGCTACAAGACCAAGTAGCTATATTGCTTCTGATTCCTAGAATTGCCTCTCTGTGTTTTCTTATAAAAGGGGATTCAGACTCTGTATGTGTAAATACAAAGTGTCCACTTCTCATTATTCATGAATTAAGACAATCTCAGACACTAAAGAAAGGCAAAGTGAAATCCTTCCTATTTGAAGTATTTGCTGTGTTCAAAACACAAATTTTGTCTTCAGATAATGCTGTAGCACCTAAAATTGTGTTACCTGCATACATCTCTATTTCCCTATATAGACTACATACAAATATTTCTGCTTGCTATTAAGAACATGTAGTTTAGAAGAAATCTCCAAATTTAGAAGTTATTAACAATCTGTTTATTGTTAATAAATTCTATGACACAATAAAAAGGGTTAGAGAGAATAAAAATGCTCCCTCATTTACAGAAGGGTTATATATCCTATCCAGAACCTGGAATGATTAGTTGTGTATCCATACAATGGAACACTATACAGTGATGAAAATGGACAAACTACTGTACTCCCAACACTTATGATGAACTTCACTACAGAACTTTGAGTGAAAGGAGCCAAATGCAAAAACCACACAAAGATTTTTTAAAATATAAAGTTCAAGAATAAGCACAATATACATATGTTGTTCCATTCAGAATATTGATTCTTGTGGCCACGAACATAGCAGTGACAGGGATGGGGACAGGAAACTTTTCAGGTAGTATTGGTAATGTAGTTCTTGATCTGTGTGTCAGCTCACAACTGCTCAATTTGAAAATTTCATTAGCACTTAACAACTTGTACAATTTTTTTGTTATATATTTATAAAGCTTCATTTTCTAAAAAGTTCTCCAGGGTATCTGTATTAGCATACATATATAATTTATATATAATATATGTATATATATTATATGTATAGATGATATATATAATTGACATACATGAATTCCTGTCCAACTTTTCTTGGATGACTTTGTTATATGTACTTATTTGGGCCTGTCTAGCACAGGAACTAAGTGGAACACTACCTAGACTTCCATTCACACTTTGTGGGTTAGAGGCTGAAGTTTAAACATTTACTCTAACACATCCAAAACACAAATGTGGCTTATATACGAATTTTCTTGCATGAATGTCTGATTAGTAAATTAATATATTCAACACTCTTACTGACATAAAGGAAATAGCTATTTGGTTATAAAACAACCTACATACAGATCTTAACAATGATCCATCAAAAACCCAACCTAAAATAAATTACAGAGAATCCTTTATTTTCCAAACAGCATTTAACATCGTTCTTAGCCTTATTTAGTAGTGCTGAACTTCAATTACTTAAATGTATTCTTGCATACACTTAATAACATTTTACCACATTATATTGAAGTTGAGAACTGGAATAATCTTTTTTAACAATAAAGGTATTAAAATATTAAATGTCACAGTGAATGGTGTGTGTGTGTGTGTGTTTGGAGAGAGAGAGAGAGAATATCTTTTCCCTGTTGCTAATGATTCCGAATTGACCACAACTCTTATAAAAGTGAGCCTAATGATGTATCGTGTTATGTTATGTTCATGGCATCCAAATTGTGTTCTATATAATAGTTTTTAAAACCGTTGGTAGAGAGCTTGCCTCACATTCACAAGGTCCTGGGTTCAATCCCCAGCACTACAACAAACAAACAAAAAATACTCTCAGGAGCCACAGCATTGCTAAATGATAAAAAGACCAAGATAATTAAGCAAAAATATAATGAACAACATGAGAGCAGAGATGAAGAAAATAAATCAAATGGATCTCTGGTCTCCTTTCCCCATTAAGGAACTTTGCAGGGTGAAGAGGAGCCCCAGGGGAAGCACGAAATAGCTAGAAAGAGGTTTCCTGTTCCAACCTGACCCCAGATCCCTCCTGGGAGAGAAAGTTAAGCTGGGTCCCCATCAGTGGGCTGGGAGGTCCGGAGACCAGGTGGCAGGTAGCCGCCCCAGACGTCCAGGCCCGGCGCCCGCTTCCCCTGGCCCAGGGACTCACCACGAGCGCGCAGCACAGCAACTTGTTCATTGTGGTCCCCGGGAAACCTCAGGCGCTGGAAGGCGGCGGCGGCGGTGGCAGCGGCTGGGCCAGCAACGCTAGGTGCTTCTCCGCAGCCACTGCGTTGGTGACGTTTTATATAACGTTCCAGCAACAGGAAGTATCTCTGGCTTTGATCAGTCATTTCTTTGTCCTGGACCAAACTTTGCACCTTCCCTTTTTAGGAACCTTGGGCGGGAGCCGGCGGTGGGGAGTGGGGGGTGGGGTGCGGGGCCGCGGAAAGCTCCAGGGTTAACGCTTTCAGAGCCGGGTGGAAAGAATCCCCCTGAGAGGTGGGGCAGGGGTGGGGGAGGGCGGGGATGTCTGGTCTCTGCAAGGGGGTGGGGGTGGGGGCGGGGGAGAAAGCAAAGCCACCAGGCTGCGGAACAAGGCGGCAGCTGTCTCCGCGGCTGGCCCTGAGGTTTCCCAGCCTCTTCCCGCCAGCGGCCGGCCTCCTGGCAGCCAGGACCAGCGGTGGGAGGGTTGGGCACACGCTGGGTAGCCGCTGTGCTGGTGGCTCCTCCACCCAGAGTGTCCAACTAAGCCAAGATCCGGACACAGCTGGAGTGTCCCAGACTTTGTCCCCTCTGGGAGAGCTGTGAGTTTCCGCTTTGCCCGGTTGTCTGGCCCCTTTTCTGCCAGGTTCAGAGAGCTGGGATAACAAGGCCTCTCATTTATGCGTTCCTGGGAGCACTGTTTGGGAAGTTTGCAACAATTAATCTTCAAGGTTGCATCGAACCTAAGAAGAAGGAACTTCCGTAAGTGATGTCCAAGTCTAAAGCCCGTGCTTGCCACCGTTCACTTCTTGTTGTCTGGGCTATTCAGAGCCAGAAAGAATCAGAAGAATGAATTTTACTGCCTAACTCAGGGACAACCTTGCAACCTACTATTTACATCATCCTTAAAGTGCTGTTGGTACCTTAGTATACCATACATTGAACCTCCAGATCCATTCTTCAGGGTCATTCCACTGCCCCAGACTTTAAATAGAAGTTTGGTGCTTTTCATAAAGGGATCTTGTCTTCCTCATCAATCTCACCAGCTGCTTGTCTGGAACCAATCACTTCCTTTGTCTGGAAGTAAGACTTGATCACCACCAACACCACCACCACTACTACTACTAGTAATAATAATAATAATAATAATAATAATAATAATTCCTCCTCCTCTTCTTCTCTTCCTCTCCCTCACCTTCCTCCTTCTCCTTCTCCTCCTCCTTTTTCATTTTTTATGGTACTGGGGATGAAACCCAGGGGTACTTTACCACTGAGCTACATATCCAGCACCCCCCCACACACACACCTCTTTTGAGACAGGGTCTCACTAAATTGTCCAGGCTGGCCTTAAACTTGTGATCCTCCTACCTCAGCCTCCCTAATAACTAGGATTTACAGGTGTACACTACCACACACACAGCTTGACTTGATCATTTTTCAACTGAATTTCCATGCCAGTATCCTGTGTGCAGTTCAGGGATCACAGCTTTCAGGTTGTGACACGAACTCTGTTTATACATGACTGAAAAAGTTCCTGCAGAACTGACTTCCCCATTAGGGCCAAGGGTTCCGTGATATGTCACTTGAGAAAGGCACATTCTACTTTTCACCAAAGTTCAGGGAGAGGAAAGTGAGAAATCAGGAAAGAGGTCTGTTGGAGGGCAAGTTTGTCAACAAGGATCAGAATGCCCACCCCTTCAAATGGACACCATTCCACCACCAGCTCATCCACAGACTAAGCAGAAAATTCTTGGAAAAAAAATGAATTTCAGGAAAAATGAATTTCCACTCTGATTTCTGGGACAGAGGGAGTCACATTCAACTTTGTCTCTCTGAAGGTGGCACATACCAACATGCTAGCTTGTCAAGTGAATTATTGATAATGTAGGTCAACTAATTAGTAAGTGGAGGACTCCCTAGGAGCCCCTTATATTTTGATCTTCAGTTTTGACAGTTACAGCCTAACCTACTACACTTAGACTTACATGAAACTCAGGTGCTAATCATAAAGGCCTACATAAATGGCAGTGCTATTGTTTCTGTTAGAGTAATATTTGTCTAGGATATTATTTGAAGTCACTTTTTTCTCGAAGCAATAACACAATACCAATATGTGAGATTTAGGCCTTGGAGAAAACTGATCAAAGATTAAGTCTTTTTCTTAAACCTCTCTAAGCCTCGGTTTCTTTCTTCATAGGGCTAAAAAACCAAAACCCAAACCCAAACAAAACAAACTAACAAACAAACAAAATCTGGTATTGCAGAAAAAGCAAATAGAAACATTTTTAAAAGCATTACAAGATCATAATCATTGTCATGAGCATTAAATAAAACGATGCATTGAAACTAACTTAGCACAGTGCCCGTAGGAAATATTTACTGAATTCTAGCTGTGATTATTCTAGGGAAATAACTAATACTGGTCTTTAGATTCAGACACGTAGTTTTGAGCTCTAGCCCCACATCTTCCTAGCTCTGTGACCTCAGCAATTGCCTAACTTAGTTGTTTCCTTTTGATTTCTCTATCTGGGTAAAAACAATAATAATCACATCTACCCATATTATTAAGGGATTTATGAGCATTACATTAGATAAAACATGTAAAACACTAAAAATAATATCTAGCACCTAGTGTTAGTTATTATTTTTAGCATTTTTCTCATGAGGTTCTTGAGATACTTACATGAGCACAAGATGAATCAAAGCCCCTGAGAGCAGGAACCCTGTATTTTCCTATGGTATTCCCTGAAGATTTTAACTCAGCTTTAGCTCTTTTCAACTTCAATAAATAATGGAGTGATGTTGGTGGCTTGTAGGGGCCCTGGGAGGACTGATAATTAGCTGAAATCTTGAGTCAGATTGGTATACCATTTATCTAGAATCACAAAATAGACTCAGTATTGACTAAGTATCTCAGAACCTGACTATAGGCTGTTCATTAATCACTCCCTGGAAGGAAACTGACAGAGACCATGAGTTATTGGTCATTTAATTTATTATACTCCTGGACCAATCTGGCCAATCCCCTGGGATATTCCCAAGTGATCCACTATTGTGGGTAGCAGGCTCCCAACACTGAAGCTAGAGTTCATCTCAAGATTTAATTGGAAAGACCCTGTGATTCCTGACTGCACCCAATGAGGGGTATTTGAATAGGAACTTGGCAGACTACATTCTTCTTCCTGTGACAGAGAGATCCCTTGTAGGCACAGGCCTTTGTGATATTAAGCAGGGTTCCACAAATTTAACCTTTTTTTTTTTTTCTGGGCACCAAGAATGTGTGAGACTAGCTTTCTAGAAGAGACCTCACCTGATACCCCTTATCTTCTCTTCCCTAAACTTCTCTGAATCAAGTTCTTCACTTAAAACATTCTCATTGCTGGTATTTCTGATTGTCCTTGAAAACACACTGTCATCTCCCCCAATCCCCTACTCCGCCCACTCCCAGCTCTAAGATAAATGGTACCTGAATACTGGGAGCTCCCATGGGGAATGTAGTCCATCTCTTCTGCACAGCAGTTCAGCACCTGGTACAGAAGGTCATTCGTTATCATCAGCATCATGGGAAGGGCTGTAGCTCAGACAGCAATTGATTTAGATGATTTGGGAGACAAGGCTTGCTCTGAGGTGACAAGGACTCTGAGGTGACTGATCAAGTGTCTAAAACATCTTGTGCTTCTGTTCTTCACCTGAAAAAAAAAATGAAAAGAAAAGAAATACTCATTCCGAGGTTATGCATACAAAAGTATATCAACTTGAAGAGCAAAACTAAATTCCTTGTTATTTCACTGTTATCAAAAGAAGCTTTATTCTGATCTCCTAGAAGGAACAGAGGGAAAGAAAGAAAGTATTGTGCAAATAAGTCAATGATCTGATTTTATTAATGTTTGCCAGTTTCTTCATTGACAAATTTAACTGAATTAACCTTCTAAACATTAATATTCTGACTGTAAAGGTATTGTAGACTATGTTCAGGGTTGCATGTGTACTTGTTTTATAAAAATCATAGCTGAAAAGGCAAGGCTGTCCAGCAAAGGCATTTTTCTGGTGAAGGGAGTCACCAGTTGCTTAAGGATCTGATTGAAAATGTTGAGCCACTGTCAGCAGGCACTAGTTAGGGCTCCCTACTCAATGGTAAATACTGTGTGACTCATTCAGTAAAGTGACACTTTCTTTCAAAATTAGCCTTTATCAGACAATCCCATAAATATAACCAAATTATGTGTTCATTCATGATTTTGTGGTTTGGATATAAGGTGTCCCCCAAAAGCTCATTTGTGAAATGAATTGGGTTATGAGACGTTTAACCCAATCAGCGAATTATTCCCCCATGGGCTTAATTGAGTGGTAACTGAAGGTGGATAGGGTGTGGCTGGAGGAGGTGGGTCATTGGGAGTCTCTCTCTGCTTTCTGATCATCATCATGTAGGCCACTTCCCTCCATTTACGCCATAATGTTCTGCCTCACCTCCAGCCCGGGGAATGGAGCTGACCTTTTATGGACTGAGACCTCTGAAACCATGAGCCCTCCAAATAAACCTTTCCTCTTCTAAAGTTGTTCTTGTCAGGTCTTTTAGTCACAGTAGCAAAAAAGATAACTAAAACACATGGAAAGAAAAGAAGTTGCCATAGGCAACCCTGAATCTGTGGATTGAATATCTAACCTCTGAAAAATGAGCGTGTTAACAATTAGTGAGATGCAGAGAAGGAATGGAGCAGTTAGATCTTTTGTTTAGCAGGCCCCAAGATGGGAGGAAGCAAGCTGTGATTTTAAAGAATTAGGAGAGGGCTGGTGTGTCTGGTGCATGGAGAGCAAGGCAGTGAATGGGATGGGAAAGGCTGGGGAGCTGAGTGTTCAGGATGCGAAGTGTAATGGAGTCCAGTCTTTCTCCAAAGAACCATATAAAGCCCTAGAGTCTCCTTGTTCTTTATTCGTTTAATTTATTTTTTGTTATTTAGGGTGAAAAACTTGATAACATTAGACATTGAAACTCTTCTGGTCAAATCATACCTGTGAGTGCAAAGTGATCAGTAATTTTTGGTATATTTTATTCATTTATTTTTAAGTATGGGAGGGTATCTTAGTCAGTTTGGGTTGCTATAACAAAACACCACAAACTAGGTGGCTTAAAAACAACAGAAATGTATTTGTCAGGTTCTAAAAGCTGGAAGTCTGAGACAGGGAGCAACCCTGGTTGGAGTCTGATGAAAGCCTCATTCCGGGATGTACAATTCTGACTTCTATTTGTGTGCTCACATGACAGAAAGAGAGTTATTCAGCTCTCTGTGTCTCTTTTGTAAGGGCACTAATTCCACTGATGAGGGCTCCATCCTCATAACCTAGTAACCTCCAAAGACCCCTCTTCCTAATGCCATCATATTGAGGTTTAGGAATTTAACATGAATTTTTGTGAGGATATAACATTCAATCC